ACAATGGTGTCATCAGAGAAGGCGTGAATGGTGTTAAAATTAAGGGAGAAACTGCCAACAAAGAATGAAAATGACGTGATAGGAGGCATGAAAGTGGGGAACACTCTTCGGAAAAACCATGGCGCTGTCAAATGTGGGTTCTTCGATCTCTTTCCTTTCGAGTTCATCTCCACTGAGATTTTGGCGAGCGCCATCAGGTGACCGATCCTGGCAGCATTTATTGATCAACTAGGAGACTGTCAAATAGGTCGTGTCAGGTTTACCGGTTAAGGACCCCATCTTATAGTGAAATACGAGGTAAGCTTCGCTGATCGGTGCCAACTGCTTGGCATATACAATTTGTGTACGAATGTGTAAGGTTGATGGAGAGTGGATCTGTTTTGAACCACTATGGTCGACACATGGAGTATACAGCCCTATTGTGTATACGCAGCTTATCAAGCAATCTGATCTGATAAGAAAGAATATAAAAAATAACAGGACTGTCGGTTCGCCACGATATCCTTCAGTTTTTCCAACCAATCAGTTAGATCGTTTTCGACCCTTACTCTATCTGCTCTTCTCACGAATTTCTTCGCGTTTCCTGTCGACTTCATTTGTTAGCCTCCACATAATTTTCTTCACCCTCGTGCAGCAAATGCAAACAAGTTAAACTGCGATAGACGCCTGAAGGGCATGCCTAACGTATGTGCTAACCAGCAAAGCCGACACATCTGTATTTCGTGTGATAACGAGTTTTCCACTAAGGCTCAGCGGAATATTATTGTCATTACTTTTCCACTTGCCCCACTCTACTTGCGCCTTACTATACAAATGTTGCTAATGGAAGGAATACTGTTTATGGATGTTTTACAGTCCCAGTCACACAACCGTAAAGGGTTGCGTGTATCCTGCAGCAGTTCAGACTGCTGGTTTACGGTAGACAGACTTGACCATCACGAAAACAAGATAGAGATAGATTGTCGTTGTTCGAACACCGCTGTCCACTCCGCATTGCGTAAGTCTAGTTGGGGAATACGCTGCCACGGCGCACGATGTTTGCCGAGGCAAGCATTGAATAGAAAAAGGTCAAGGGCGATCAAAATAAGACCTGTGGCGGGGGTCATATAAGTCGCTTTAATCTCCCTGGATGGGGACCTCGGGGTCATGTTAACCGGTAGTTAGGGATACTGATTGATATGGCTGAGTGTTGTAAACAGTGGCGAGTGTGCATCTACTGATTATCCTTACAGCTTTAGCATGTGTAAATTCTGTTTTCCTTTTATCATTCTCTCAACATCCCAATCTTACTTCCACTCTTATCCAAATGGGCACCCAAAGGTAGCAACCAAAACCGGCCCACGAAAGTGCATGGGTAATGGTTGTAAAACTAAACTGAACTGAAACCAGAAATAACCACACAATGGCACAGTATACGTGACCTTTTCTCTTCAGGGACATTTCACTTCGACGCCGTCCGTGTTTGAATCGTATGGACGCTGTGCAAGCCTTGTAAATGCTGGTGGCGACCCCCATTAATATAGTGCCATCATTTTTAACGCAACTGTGCAGATGTGAGAAGCAAGCAACTTCAGCCCTCTAGTTTTACACAGGACTAGTCCTCATATAGTCTTGCACCATAAGTTTTTGCTCTGAAGGTGCAAAGCGCATTGCCGTTTGCGACTCATTGAAAAAGGATTGTTGAAATAGAACTCCCTGGACCGCGCTACCGGCGTAGTCAATGGTGTGTATGGCTAAGTGTCGTAAATGATGATGCCCGTTCATGTGATTGCTTTTTCTCAAATACAGTTTACGCCTTTTCTGCATCTTTAGCTAGGTGTTACTGTATTTTCCATTTGGTTTTTCTCTTGTTGGTCGTCAGACACATCCGTAACTGAAAATTAGTAACCAGGGTCTATGCACGAAGTTCATAGTTCAAAGTAGAACTAAAGATTCGTTATGAACACAATTTGCTCATCGGGTCTTGCTTAGCAACATTATCTTTTTGCCTAATTAATATGCTTTACTAGAAGTTAACCAATTGCTGTATTCATGTTCGTTTATGAGGATTGCTGCTATAACTGTTCAAACTTAAGGAGAATAATCGATTATTCATTTAGACTGCCTACTCATATGGTTCAAATCAGTGAAGTTCAGCCATGCCTTTATATTGCATGTTGATCGATGATTAACCTGACTTTATTACCAAAATGACTGCACATTCACTGGGGATTTTGTTTTTTCAGCTGGATCTTGTACCACCATCTGGATTGTTCTTGTACTTGTTGTAATCAAGGAAACCATGGGTTTATTTGGTGAGAAGACTGACTCGCGTGAAAAAATGAGAAATATGGTGTCTGTCGTTCGCAAGCAGAAATATCGTATTCAGCGTGATATAAACGCGTTACAACTGCAAAATAAGCGTGTCACAGCCGATATCAAAAAGCGTGCTAAAGATGGCCGACTGGATGAGGCTAAAATTCTCGCAAGAGAACTAGTTAATTCTCGCAAGGCGGTTTCTAGGTTGTATGCTGCCGGAGCACACCTGGATTGTATCATCTCCGAGCTGAATTATCAAGCAACAACCAGCAAGTTGACCAATTCCATTCAGAGTGCAACCTCAGTCATGAAATCTATGTCCGCGTTGATGAAGGTAAGTCCTTAGACCTTTTGGCGTTCTCAGTTTGCGTTTATGGGCGCAACAAATTCCCATAGATTTTATGTTAAAATTGTGAAAAGTTCAGTAGCCTTGGTGGAATTCCAATCCAAACATGGGTGCTGCCTATGCTTTTGCACAGCGCACGCTCTACCAGCTCAGCTACGAGGCCACACCGATAGCGCTGATCGTTTCACATTCTAATCACCCTCCAACTTACAGAGGCATATGACATCCACCAGGTAGCATATAAGCTAACTGTCAGGTTTGTCTTAGCAACCATAGGAGGCCACCGAGTAAACTTCTAACACAGGGTATTTTGTTCAACTTGTTGTTTGGCAGATTAAAGTCTTATGTTGATTTGTCTTTTTAAGTTCAGTTTTGATTTCAATAACCTAATAGCCTTACACTTACGGTCTGTCTC